GTTGGAGATGAAGCATTGAAGTGCTCGGCGTAGGTCTAGCAAATTCTCCCTTTCAAGTCGACGCAGATACTGTGCGAGCTGGCTTTTGACGTAGGAGAGATCCGGCCGGCATGTGATGGAGGCGAATAGGAGACACCCCAGCTGCTGCTGATAGAGCCGATGGTCGTCGGTGGAGAGCGGCAGTGGTGTCGGATTCATGATTAGGAGGAGGAGAGCGGAAGGGGGTGGTGAGGTTGATCGGGGCGATAACGGATTTCTTTGCTAGTGTTTCCGCGTATTTGGCAGCAGAGAGGTGGATGGAGGTGGTGGACTGGGTGATGTTGAGACCCAGGAATTGCGTGACTCTATGATAAATCGTCACTTCTAGCTTGTTCTTGATTTCTTCATCGTAGCAGTCAATTAGCTCCGCGCCGTTGTCGGTGTAGAGTAGGTCGTCGACGTAGGCAACGAGGAGAATGAACTTACCGCATGATTCCTTCCGGTACATCCCGTGGTCGTGCGGCAGCTGAACGAATTCGAGCTCCGTAAGGACGATGTGTAGTTACTACTGCCACAGGCGAGGAGCTAGTTTGATGCCGTAGAGGGATTTTTTGGAGGAGGCAGATGGCATCGTCGCTTCCCTCGAGCACGTGTGGCTATTCGACGAAGATGATGGCTTTGACGGGAGCGTACAGGAACGCACTTCCGACATCGATTTGTCGGAGCGGACGCTGCTTAAGTTGCAATGCAGATGAGGATGTGAACGGAGGTGTGCCATCCGACAGAAGCAAAGGTCTGGTCGTAATCCACAAGGTAAGTTTGCTCGAAGCCGCGCACCACACATCTTGCTTTGTATTTGTCAATGGAACCATAAGCAAGGGTCTTGATTCTAAAGACCCATTTGCGCTGAAAATTTTCCTCCCCTTCACAGATGACCGGGGAACGAGCTTCTCGCTGTCGGGCCCAGACTGAGCTTGTCGCACATTCCGGGAATGTGTGGTAGGTTCCTTGGGTGAGCAGTGGCGAACTGCGACTGTGAGGCCAAGGATGCGGAAGCCAGTTTGTTGGTATTTTTGTAGACAAGGCGATCGTAGTCGTGGAAGCTGGTAACTTCGAGAACATTGTCGTCGCTGTTGTGCTCGAAGCAAAAGGTGTCTTGCGAGGAGTTCGGTGGTGGTAATTCGGCATCCAGAGATCGGCGCGCTGTGCTGTTGTAGTTGTGGGCTTCATGAGTTGTATCGTCAGGATCGAATTGGGAAACAGATATGCGTGTCGTTCGCTGCGTCACGTCTTCTGCCAGGTCAGCTGCATCATGTGGGGTGGCGAAGCTGCGGTGTCCTTCTGATGCCTTGTCATCTTCGCGGTGTTCATTGAACAGTGGCAGAGTCAGCTTCTAGTAGAAGATGCAGTCACGTGATCTCGTCACTTCGTGTGTTGCGTAGTCCAGCACGATCCACACCTTGTATTCCTTTTCGATCCCGAGGTGAATGACCCCAGCGTGCCCGGTTTCGAGTCCTCGCTGTGTATGGCATGTACTGTACCATACAGCCAAACACTTGAAGGAGACGCGTGTCAGCTTTCCTGGCCGTCTAAGCCTTGCAGGGAGAATTGTTGTTCTCGAGGCTTCGCGAGGACAGCAAGTGCTTTATTGGGCGGTTTTGCAGAAAGAATTCCAGCAACGGCTGGCCCCATGGGCTCTCTCTCTTGCAACGACGGCTCGTAGGAGCATGGCGACGTTACGATAACTTGCCACCAGTCCATGGCGGGGCCCCGTAACAATGAAACAGCGTATCGAATCTTCGTTGGGTCCAACGTGGTGTAGTTTTCGTCGAAGAAGACGTTCATCGCGAAGAACCACGATTGAACCGTCGGGCCTCCGCGCTGGCTGGGGTCGAAACAGGGCGGGCGTTGTGGCTTGAGCGGCATTGGCTCGCCAATGTCGTCGTTGCCTGCGGACGCCGCAAATCCGACGTGGCGATGGGCTTCGCGAGGTACATTCACGGTCGGAACGGCCCTGAATCTCTCCATGCCATGCATCAACTGGGCGGCGCCATCACGAGCTGCGCCTGAGTGCTGTCCTATGCTGTCGTGCTGTGACGGTATGCCAGACAAGATGACAATCGGCTCATCCGTTTGTGTAGGTGCATTTTCAGGCATCTGTGTTGGTGCACGTGCATTCGTCGTTGATTGCTGTCGGGCGGAGTCGAGTTCCGCCGCGAGCGTCACGATTTCGATGTCAGAATGTTATTTGTCTAGCCTGCAGTGGGGTGCTCAATAGTGAGTACAACCCCTTAGGGTTTGCTATTTGTGTGTTCTGCTGCTTGCTAGTCACCATTCATTCTTCGTTCCAATTCTCCTTCGTAAACCCTAACTCCTAGTTCTAGAGCACACCCACCTACCTCCTAGTGTGGGCCTAGGCTACTAAGCCTAGGCCCCACACCTACGATTCTAACATGGTATCTAGAGCCGGCGAGATCCTGCCGCCTAGTTCATCGGGCCCACCAACTCCTTCCGCTGTCGTACTATCCGCCGCGCGCCCCGTGGTGCGCGGCATTGCATTTTCTTCCCGCCACGCGCTCCGAACACGTGGCGGCTTCTTCTGCCCGCCGCGCGCTCGGGGCGCGCGGCGGTTATCCCGTCCGTCGAAGCGTCCTTGGGGGGGCCTGCGCGCTGCCCTCCCTGCTGCTCGTCGCGACGCCCGTGCGGGACCCGCGGGGCGTCGCCCTTACTCGTCGCGGCGCCCCCTGGGTGCTGCCCCTTCTCGTCGCGACGCCCGTACGGGACCCGCGCAGCGTCGCCCTGCTCGTCGCGACGCCCGTGCGGGACCCGCGGGGCGTCGCCCCTGCTCGTCGCGACGCCCGTGCGGGACCCGCGGGGCGTCGCCCCTGCTCGTCGCGACGCCCCCTGCGGGACCCGCGGGGCGCCGTCAGAGCCTGCAGCAGCAGCCGCCGCTCTACCAGCAGCAGCAGCCGCCGCCGCTCTGCAGCAGCAGCCGCCGCCGCCCTGCAGCAGCAGCCGCCGCCAGAGCCTGCAGCAGCAGCCGCCGCCAGAGCCTGCAGCAGCAGCCGCCGCCAGAGTCTGCAGCAGCAGCTGCCACCAGAGCCTGCAGCAGCAGCCGCCGCTCTACCAGCAGCAGCAGCCGCCGCCGCTCTGCAGCAGCAGCCGCCGCCGCCCTGCAGCAGCAGCCGCCGCCAGGCCTGCAGCAGCAGCTGCCGCCACCGAGCCTGCAGCAGCAGCCGCCGCCAGAGCCTGCAGCAGCAGCCGCCGCCAGAGCCTACAGCAGCAGCCGCCGCTCTACCTGCAGCAGTTGCCGCTGCCGAGCCTGCAGCAGCAGCCCCTGGAGCAGCCAGTCACTGCAGCAACCGCCCCTGGAGCAGCCCGCCACTGCAGCAGCCGCCCCTGGAGTTTGCCCGCCTTTGTTCGAGAGTGTGGGGGTGACGGGTATGGGGGTGCTTCGTGTGCGTCGTCCCTTCCTCCTCCTTCGTCTCCCACTGCTGCAGCTGCCGCTGAGGGGGGTGGATGTGTGGGAGCCGAGGGGACTGGCGCTAGGGGGGGTGATATGGGAGTGGAGCTAAGGGTGGACCAAGGGGTGTGTGTCGAGGGGTGTGGGACTGTTGGGGGAGGTTGAGCGGAGACCGCCGTCGTGTCGTCTACAGCGCCTGTACTCCGGGGCGCTCAATCCCGGTAGCTCAGAGAGCCGGTTGCACCTGTCGCCCGTGGGTCCGTTGCTCCTGCCGCTGCTGTTCAGCCGCCGAGCCTGTTACTCCTGTATTCCGGGGCCTTTCTCCTCCCGGTAGCCACCAGCGTTGCACCAGAGCCGTCTGTTGCCCGTGTGTCTGCAGCTTCAGTCGTCGCCTCCACTCTTCTCTCATCTCGCCAGCCCTCCTCCTCCTCACTTGCCCTCTGTGACTGCCTCTAGCTCTGCTTACAATTTATAAACTATTGGTTCTTGAACTTGTGCTCAGAATGTGTGGTGACGTCGTGATCCACCCTGAGCTTGTACTGCTTTGTGTGCTCTGCTGATTACACCCCACTTTGGCTATGGGGGTGTGTCAGAATGTTATTTGTCTAGCCTGCAGTGGGGTGCTCAATAGTGAGTACAACCCCTTAGGGTTTGCTATTTGTGTGTTCTGCTGCTTGCTAGTCACCATTCATTCTTCGTTCCAATTCTCCTTCGTAAACCCTAACTCCTAGTTCTAGAGCACACCCACCTACCTCCTAGTGTGGGCCTAGGCTACTAAGCCTAGGCCCCACACCTACGATTCTAACATTCGAGCGCCCGAGTTGGCGCACGAAGCGATGGTCCGGAGCGTGGGTTGTCAGCCGAGCTGTGTGGTTGGGTTGAGACGGGTGTAGTGGCAGGAATGTGGTCGAGGCAAGTATCGCGAGTGGTAACAGTGCACGGTGTGGCGAGAATAGTGATGTACGCGCTAAGCAGAGATGTGGCGTAAGAAACGGGAATTTTCCTTACAACAGGTTTCTTTTTTTTTTTTTGGAACTTCAGTTGAAATACGTGCCAGGGTATTGAAAATTGTTACACTGTAGCTTTTGGGTACTTTTTGTGAAACTATGGAAAAAAGGGTTTTCCCAAGGGATCAGGGACTTTTGATTTGCAGGACTATTAATAACAGGGCAATTTTTTTGATTTGACCTATCCTTGTAATCAGTGTACCACAATCTTAAAGCCAGCAGCTAAAATAGTGACCCCCCCTTCTAGTTGGGTCCACTTGAAAACAGAGGTTTTTTTGTAAGGCTTCGAAAAGTTGGAGATGCTGTGCATTTCTATTTTTTCACTTCCACATGTGTACAATTCTGATTGGCAGCGAAACTCACACGCAACTCACACATACAACATGTGTGCAAATTTGGCGCAAGGGTTGCAATGCCTGAAATCACTCTAGAAGTCATCGTAACTACGGGAAAACTCACATCAATCAACAACACAGGCAAAATCTAGCACACACACATATGCAGGAGATGAGAGAAAAATGCCGTTTCCTTGGACTTGAGGCTGAAAGAGGTTAGAAAAATGGGTGTCGAAGAACGAGGGGGAAAAATAAGTTGGATAAGGTAATAGCCAACGGATGGGAGGGGAGAGTGGAGGAGCGATGGGAAGAAAGGGGAGAGAGGAGGAACGACGGGATGGGAGGGGAGAGGAGGCGAACGACGGGATGGGAGAGAGGAGGCGAACGACGGGATGGGAGAGGAGAGGCGAAAGACGGGATGGGATGGGAGAGAGGAGGCGAAAGACGGGATGGGATGGGAGAGGAGGCAAAAGACGGGATGGGATGGGAGAGGAGGCGAATGACGGGATGGGATGGGAGAGGAGGCGAACGACGGGATGGGATGGGAGAGGAGGCGAACAACGGGATGGGAGGGGAGAGGAGGAACGTGAGCGCGATGCCGACGGGAAGGGAGGACGTGAGCGATAGGAGATGAAGTGGGCGACGTGAAGAGAGGGCGCAAGGGTGACGGGAGGGAGAGCGCGAAGGCGACGGGAGGGAGAGCGCGAAGGCGACGGGAGGGGGAGCGCAAAGGCGACGGGAGGGAGAGCGCGAAGGCATCGGGAGGGAGAGCGCGCAGACGACGGGAGGGAAAGCGCGCAGGCGACGGGAGGGAGAGCGAGCAGGCGACGGGAGGGAAGGCGCGCAGGCAACGGGAGGGAGAGCGCGCAGGCGACGGGAAAAGTGATGGGATTGGAGAGAGGAGGGGCGCAGGGAGGCCGTTTCAGAGAGAGGGCGTAGGCGACGAGGTGTGTGATGGGAGGGGAGAGAAGTAAGGCGTCGGGAGAAGGGTATTTCGGGGAGAGAACTAAAGCCGACGAGGTGAGCGATGGGAAAGGCGACAGAGAGAAAATTTGTCGACAGGAAGGGAGGAGGAAGAGCGAGGGTGACAGGGAGGGAGGGAAGAAAGAGAGGGCGACGGGGGGGAGGAAAGAGACCCGCGAAGGTGATCGGAGGGGAGCGGACAGTAGACGAACGACTGGAGGGTAGGGGAGATGGCGAAGGCGCGAGACACGAATCTGGCCCCTGCGGAAGGGTAACGATCGCCTGCGGAAGGGGAAAATTTACGATACTAAGCTACGTAACAAAGTCTTACGCATTCCTGCAGGGCCGACAGTTACTTAACTTGGCAAAAAACACCTATTGTTGTGAGCTAACTTATTCTAGGAATAAAACTAGTGACTTCGGAATGGAGAGCAGCTGGTCATGAAACCCAGTTCCACCTTGAAACTAATGTTGGCCTGGCGATGGAAACCATCGCTTGGCAACTGTCGTGCGGGTGTAGCACGTAGACATGCGACGGAGGCGATCCGCATGGAAAAATGTTTTGGCGGGAACAAGAAGCATCAAGATTGGCGAAAGCCAATCACATTTGTTCACAGTGCTTCTCGTTTCCTTTGGAACAGTACTCTGTCGGCCCGCTCACTGTAGCACCCTTTCAAGCTGTGACAGGGTTCATTATTTTAGATTTCGAATTTTAAAACATGATTATCAGTGTGACCCCTTGTGAAAAAACTTTCCCGTCAGGGTTTTCTAAGCTTCCAAAAATTTTACCCTGTCGCATCAGTGTACGGTTATGGAAAAGCCTGAAAAAAAAAAATAACGTTGCACTCAATACAGAATTTAGTTAGCACACGAGTTGTCAAGGCCAAAATTCCGGCATCGACAGTTGCCTTTCGGGAATCCCAGGTTACGGGAAAGGGGGGGTGGGTGTATTGGGGGGCGGGGGGGGAGGGGGGTAGGGTATTCGGTACAGGGTAAACTCGTGACGGGATTCGGGAACCCTTGGGCATCGGTGTGCCTTACACAAAAATTCTAGCCCATCAGGGTAAACCTAACTCCAAAAAAAAAACCCTAGGCCATCAGTGTGACTATAAAAAAACACCCTGATTATCAGGGTATCAGGGTGATTTACACTGATAAAATTTGCCCTTATTAATAAGGGTTGCTGAAAACCAAACATCAGCCCTGCTCCTCCTCCATGTTCTTGATAGCTTGCAACATTGCAGCCAAGTTATTGGGATACGACGTCCCACTTCGCATCCCCTCTGCTTTCTCATCGACCTTGACCGCAGCACCTCCTTCCCCACCACCTCGTGCCTGATTCCCTGCAGCTCGTTGGCAATGGTGGCCATGCTGGGCCGGCTTGCAGTGCGCTGCACAGTGCAGCGCAGAGCCAGCTGGGCCAGGCGCAGCATAGCATCATCCGGGGCGTCCATCTCCTGGTCCTTGAGGAGGGTGGGTTTTTTGGACGAAACACAATCTTCCACCTGACGGGTTGAACAAGGGGGGTGGGGATGGCGGCGGGGACATGGAATGACGCAGCACAGCATCATCAAGGCGTCCAGGCTGAGGTTTGGTCAGATTGAGTTGAGAAACAAGAGGCAGGCTGGGTTGTTGGAGGATGAGTTGAGCAACAAGAGGGCACAGTTAAGGCGTGCCTACACCTGATGTGCATAGACGTACACCTGTGTCGTACATCCTGCCATCATGCCATCCTGCCATCCTGCCAGCAAGCCATCGTGCCATTATGTCAACGTGCGACCAACTTGTTTGCCTAAGGGCAGCAACTTCTGAGCTGTATGGGGACGATTTCAGTATTTTACACAATAGCCTTGTTCGCCACCAAGAAGAACACCCACCTATTACAGGATGTGGCCGTGCAAGCTCACCAAAGCCAAATTGAAAGTCACTACGTGTGCCGCACATGAAAAAGCAGTGCGCACATTAAAAAGCAGTGCACATGAAGCAGCAGTGCGCACATGAAGCAGCAGTGCGCACATCATGGCTGTTTGTGCCACCAACACCGGCAGAGTGTTGCTTGAACCAACCGCACTTGCCACAGTGACATCCCCACATAAGCAACACAACATACCCCACTGCACCGCACACAAAGCAGCAGCACCTACCCATCGCAAAATGTGGCCATTCTTTTCACCCTCGGAAGAGCGGGGGCTGCGACTGGTGATCACCCCAAGCATGAGCACACCGAAGCTGCACACACAAAGAAGGGGAGAGGGTGGCAAGCAACACACAAAGATCTGCCACATTGTGTGTCATCCTTATCTGATGACATACTCCACGAGCATGAGCAAAACAAAGCACCCAGTGAGCACAATGAGCACAAGCATGAACAAACTATCATGTATTGACCTTTGATTAAATCGGTTTAGGCACACACACTGAACGAAATAATTGTCCACATGCTCATGTTAAAAAATAAGAATATGCTTGGTGGCTAGCGGGGATTAAGCCTTAATCAAAGGCCGCCATAAGGTTATAGCCCGGAGGGTTGTACATCGTCTCACGTGGCTTCAGGGCTTTTAACACGGTTGAACAAGCAGCGGTTATAGCAATAAGAACATACTACCATATGGACAATTATTTTCTATTTCAGTTTCACAGTCATAAAAAGCAAGCAGAATCTAGTACTTGGTCCAGCGACCCTTGGCCTTGAGCACAGCCCGCACACGCCTAGGCATGCTGTCGATCAGCTCACTGCACCAGGCCGCAGGGATCTTCTCCCATTCCTCTTGAACTCTGTCCCATAGCTCGAGAATGCCTGCAGGGGGGCGGGGGTAAGCAAGCAGCCGCTTCTTCAAGTAAACCCACAGATGCTCTATGGGGTTGAGGTCCGGACTAGATGCTGGCCATGGGAGAACCGTGTAGGGCTGCTCGGCAAGGTAAGTTTGAACCATTTTGCATGTATGCTTGGGGTCGTTGTCATGCTGGAAAACTACTGCCTCAGGGTCCAGCTCGTAATGCTCGATTGTCTGCTGCAGTTCATCCCGGAGGATTGAACGGTATAACTCCCCGTTCATCCTCCCCTCTATCTTACACATAAATCCGGCTCCCTCGTATGTCATACACCCCCATATAGACATGAGCATATCGACGAGCCTTGACTCGGCTCGACAGGCTCGGCTCGGGTTACCCCCGAGCCGAGCCTTTTTTTTTTGCCCTCTGTCTCGGATCGAGCCGAGTCGAGCATGGCTCGCCGAGCCGGCCGAGCCGCTCGGCTCGACGAAGCAATTTCGGCGAGCCAGGGGTGGCTCGCGGGTCAATAGGGCTCGTCGCGAGCCTTTGATTGGCTCGACGTTCCTATGCGAGTGAAAAGTCGGGGGTCCGAGAGCTTGAATGTAACTGATACGTTCGTTCCTGTCCGTGAATCGCGTTTTGCTAGTGGTAACAAATTCCTGAAACGGGATACTAATCATCCCTAGATCGGGAATGCAAATCTCATCGGGGAAGGAGATGCACGGTGAACAAAACAGTAGAGGCCAATCTCAGCAACACTGGGACGAGCAACATGTAGCGAAAACTAGGCGAAACCTTTGCCCAATCTCAGTGACACGTGCATTCCATAAAGGAGGCGAAAACTGTTGAAATCTCGTCAACTCTCGACTAGTTTCGCATGTGCGTTTGTATTTGAGAAAATTGTTCCTCAAGGTGTTCGCCAGCATTCTGTATCCAGCTTCGTTGAGCTTAATTTGTTCGCTTATCCCACAGCAGGCCTCCCAACTTTCCCTCCACCAAATTCGACCAAATTTCGCGGGGTGAAATTAGGGTTACTTTGTCAGAAATTCGAAAAGCAGTGTCAGATCTGATTGCTCGACAACCTCGCGCGTGTTTCTGTTTCATGCATCGACGGGGAATTTCTAGAGTATTTTAAACAAAGCGGCTAGACTAGACAGCATCAGACTGCTGATCTGAAATCGTGCGACAACCTCGCGTCGCGCGTGTTGTTCTACTCTGATCTTGATCTTCTAGATCTCGCCAACCGTAGCAGCCAGACACCATACCGGCTTCTGGTGTATCATTGCACGACAACCTCACGCGCGTTTTTTCTGCCTTGATATGACTCGCGAGGGTTGTTTCCGTGCCTCGTTAGGCGCATTTCAGGGCCTTGCTAAGCGCGTTTTCGTGCCTCGCTTAGGCGCGTTTTCGTGCATCCTGAGGCGCGTTTCCTGTTGATCATTCCATACACAGCATGCAGACATCGTTGTTCATAAGAGACCACTAATTTACGTTCGTCATAGAATAGAAAACCAGATCTTTGCTGCATTCATGACTAGTGAAGCTTGGATTGGTGGGATCGACCGTATAGTTTGAAGCACCTTCTACTCTGATCATGGCACGGAAAGCTAAGAAATCGGCCAGTGCAGGGAAGAACCGTGCTCAATCGGGGCAGGGAATCAAACGGTTTACCGTAGGCTGCAATAACCCCGTCAATGTGGGTGCAGCTACCACCGAGCAGGCAGGCACAAGCGCGAGCATACCGCCCACAGTTCCTGTCGTGGAAGAAGCATTCACACTCGGGCCATCATGGGCATCAGAGAAGAAGAAAGACACTGGACTCGGTGGAAACAAGAGCGATGGGGATGAAAGTGAAGAAACCGGAAGTGATGACGATGAAGATGGGAATGACAGTGAGAGCTCTGGATTGGGAGATGGTAGCGAGGAGGAATACGCAGATGACAGCGAGGGGGATGGCGGGGACGAGGATGATGACGTGGAGTTAGAAGAAGAGGAGCCAGGCGTATTGGCGGAAGGCACAATGGAGGCAGGCAGTGGAGGAAAAGGATCTAAGGGACGGCGTGGTGGAGGGGCAAGGCGACGTGGAGGTGGCTCCAAGAACAAGCAGGGTGGTGCTGGCGGCTCCAGGGGTGTGAAACGGCGACGTAGAAGCAAGAAGGCCAAGACTCAATTAGAGAAGGCTCCTGGATGTGTTGCCCGCTGTTTTGGTGAAGGGGGAGCCAAGGATGAGAAACGTAGCTGCAAAGTGTGTGGCAAGCGTCTGTCGTTCAAGGGTAGCAACACCACATCGGGTCTAAGGCATATGAAACGTCGCCATAGGCCACACTGGGACATTTGGGAGTGCCTATGGTCGCAAAAGCTCGTAGGCCCGAAAGACACGTTCCCCGAGGGTGGTTATCCTGACGTGCCAGATGGGAAGGCGGTGTGGGTTGGCTCTGCCACGTGGCCTGACCCCCCACCTGAAGGTGCAGCATCGGTTGATGGCGGCCAGCTCTCGATCAACCGGTTTTTGGCCCCGCGCTTGTCCGCGCCGCAGCTGCGACAAGCACTTGTTGAGTTCATTGCTGATGCAGACCTCCCTGTTCAAATTGTCGACCGACCCACTGTGAGTAACTTGCTGATTGCATTCTGTGCATTCTGTGCAGTGTGTCCTTTCATCGAGTCATGCGGTAAACTCTATACCAGTCATTCGTGTTTTGTACAACCTATAAACTGTCACAGCCTCATGTATGCTCGCATTCTCCTTCATGTGCTTGCCTTGTCATCCCTGTTTCGACGCCTCGTAACATTGTTGAACCCTCTGTGCGGTGAAAAGGATGTGATTCCTACTCGGTGGACCGCGGCCCGTGACGTGGTAAAGTTTGCCGATCTTGCACGAGAGCACATGAAAGCTGACCTTCGAAATGGGGGCGGAGGGTATGTCTCCTTTACCTTCGACATATGGTCGGGCGGGAATCGTCTCGGGTACATGGTGATCACGGCACATTGGATCACCAAGGATTGGCAACTGCGTGTTGCAACACTGGACTTTGTCGATTTGGGAGAGAAGCACACTGCTGTGGTCATTGCATATGCCTTTGAAGATGTGCTGCACGAGTGGGGACTGGTGGACCGTTGTTTCGGCGTCACCACCGACAACGCAGAGAGCAACGCTGCCGCGCTGCGCATTCTAGCTGGGCAAGGGCATTATGGGAGGGAAGAGCCAATTGTCGCGGCCACCATGCACTTTCGGTGAGTACAGGTCGGGAGAGAGTGGCTGGTTTGGTTGCTGTAGGACTTTTGCATCCACAGAAATGCCACAATCCACTCAACCGGACTCTTCCCTCCTTCAGGTGCCTCGCACACATCCTGAACCTCGCTGTGCAGCGGGCTTTAGGAGTAGATGCGGTGAAGGTGCCACTGGCACGCTTACGTGAGATTGCCTCCTTTATCGGATGGTCGCCTAAGCGCACCGCAATCTTTTTCAAGATTCAGAAAGCCTTGAATCAGGGACAGCAACCTTTGAAGCTGGTCCAGGATAGTGACACGCGGTGGGGTTCCACCCACGAGATGATAGCGCGTGGTTTGGAGCTACAGCCAGCCCTGACAGTCTTCTTCTAGCAAGAGAAGGTATGTGTGGGTGAGGTCTGCAGTGTTTGATGTATGGCTGGTCCATCCATTCCCTAGACATTGGCTGGTCCTTCCTTTCCCTAAACATGGGCTCGTCATTCCTTTGCGTGTGTGTGTACACATCAACCAACAGGGTACCACCCAGGCTGAAAAGGATCGGGTCAGTGAGATGAGCCTCAGTGCTGAGCACTGGGAGAGCCTCACGGAATTGGCGGAGTTTTTGGACCCGTTCAACTCCGTCACCCTGGCAGCCGAGGGATCTATGTATCCCACCGTCAGCGCTGTTGTTCCTCAATTCAATGAATTGATGGACCAACTAGAGGGCGCGTACCACAATGTCCAGTCGGCCCCCACCGAGCTTCGCAAGCAGCTCATCAACGCAGCCCTTCCTCTCCTGAAGAAGTATTACTATGGGAGCAGTGATGAGCTTGTGGTCGCTACGTTTCTGGACCCGAGTTACAAGCTCGATTACTTCAATCTCCCGTTTTGGGAGCTGTCCAACCCCTCAAAAGCGGGGGTAGTGGGTGAAGGGTCCCGGGCTGTGAGCTCTGTTGCGCCAGAGGAAGTGTTGGCGCTTGTGCGCCAACGCTGGGCGCCTTATAAGGCACGTGCAGATCTGGCTGCTGCAGCTCGTGTCGGAGTGAGCACAGTGACAGTGGGACAGATGACTGGTATGGGCGGTGGGGGGATGCGTGCGGGGAGTGGTGGTGCTGGGGGGAATGCTATGGCCAAGAATCCCATCAAGGAACGCATCCAGGCTATGAGAGCTAGACAGGACACTCGGCCTCGAGATGACATAACCATTTACCTTGAAGAGCCGCCCGTGGATGTGTGCCCGCTCGCTTATTGGCGTGAGCGGAAAGATCTTCCCTCCTTGCAGGCAATGGCAATGGATTACCTTGCTATTCCTGCAACATCCGCTCCTAGCGAGCGTGTTTTCTCTCAGAGCAGGAACCTCATTACGTGGCATCGCCACCGCTTGAGCGCCGAGCGCATACGTGCGTGCATGACGCTCAAGACGTGGGTGAAGTCTTCTCCTGGGGTGATGCTTGGTGGAGCTGATGCGGCTGCGGTATTAGAGGAGCTTGGAGTGGAGGGGGATGAAGAGGAAGACTATGGGGAGTTGCGTGCTTGACCTCTCGCTAGATGACATCATAATTTATCCGGGGACTTGGTAGTTTTAGGACCAGTTAGTTTTAGGACCAATAATATGAACCATGACTTTCTGTAATTGACATGGTATTCTCATTTCGTTTAGCCAGAGGTAGGAAGTAATTTTCTGGCAAGGTTATCCCATTCTGATTAATGCTGGCCATTGGCTCAGTGATAACATCAAAACTGCATTGCACAAACATGAAACATGTGAACACTACGTGAGTACGATGCCACAACCTTTCTGCAATATAGATATAAGTACTCTGACATGTAGCACTAGCAATGAATTCTCTGCTCAAACACCAAAACTGACACCAATAACAGCAGCATCTACACGAGCAGCATCACTGGTGGGAGAACGGAGGGCAAGGCGGGAGAGAGGAATCATGATCCTAGGGGAGGTGGGGTGGCAAGAGAGTGGAACAGGAGGGTGGTTGGTTGTAGAAGAGAGGAGATCCTCCTAGTAGGTAGGCTGGTGATATATGACTGTGACACAAGGAGAGAGGGAATGAGAACAGATGTGATTGCGGGGCGATGCAAGTCGTGTGACTGAACGAACAGAAACACATCAGTATGCACAAGAAGGGAGGGTGAGCATATGTGACTGCTAGGGTCGAGCCTGGCTTGGCTCGTCACAAGCCGATGTGGCTCGACCCAAGCCCTTAAGTGGCTCGGGTATGATACCCAAGCCACGAGCCAAGTGAGTTCACAAATCGGCTCGGCCTGGCTCGACTCGACTCGGCTCGAGGTTAAGGCGAGCCACTGCCTGCTCGAGTCAAGCCTGGCTCGACTCGTCCCATGCTCATGTCTACCCCCATATCATGATGGAGCCGCCGCCATGTTTGACGGTCTGTTTCACATGGTGCGGCTCCATGTGACAGTCCCCGCGAATCCAGGCCCAACTACGCCCGTCGCTACTAAAACGGCATATTTTCGTCTCGTCACTCCAAATCACCCGTTTCCAGTCGTCGACCGTCCAATGCTGATGGTCCTTGGCCCACTGCCGGCGGTCCTTGACTGTTTTCTCGGATAAACGTGACTTAGACTGCTTTTCTATCGCTTTAACGCTGTGCCGCTTGAGTGTTTCGAATGGTGGCTCCAGTGACACTAATGCCGTGCGTCGAAGCTATCAATCCTGCTGCGGCCTCGGCGGATTTCGATTCGCCAGAAACTATCGATCTGACGACAATCCTAGCGATTTGCTCTGGAAGCTTGCGTGGTCGACCTGGTTTCGCCGGGGACGGAACTAGTTCCTCGTACGTTTTCGGACCGAGGTGGCGGAGGAGCTCGTCATGGACGGCGCTTTTCGAAACGCCCAAATCCTTAGCGATTTAGCGGTAGCTACGCCCCTCGGCAGTTAGCTGCATGATTCGCTTTTGTTTCTCCACGCTAAGGCGCTTCATGATGCGGGGGTATTAGCGCTACGCAAAGAGCGCCGACGAAGCTCTTAATCGCCTCCGTACCTAACTATTCTAGATCTAGGCGCTAGCGAAATGAAGCGCGGGACATTTCGTAAGTATTTGTCCGTGTGGGGTGTCGACCGGGAAAACATGACTCGTTAGAGCGAGAGCGGAACTTGGGGCTTTAGGTAACCTACGCAGGTGGGTAACACTCAGACGCAGCACCTGCACGCAATTTGTTTGAAAGAATACTTGGTTATATTTGTCAAGGGTGCATTTTCTTGTACAACTCGAATACATAAGGACAATTATTTCGTACAATGTATTAGCTGCCTACTTTTGTTTAACAGTTGAGTAAAACTATACCTGGTCATAGTCCTATTTCACCTGATGGCAACACTACCTCATCTGTACAGACTAGTGGCAGTGGTGGCCTTTCACCTGATGGCAGGGCCAGTCCGATGGCAGTGGTTGCCTCACAAAGTAAGCTTTGAGTGTTACTTGAAACACGTGCTCCGTAGTCCTACTTCACTCGATGACAGCAATAGCTCGCCTATACACATCAGTGGCAGCGGTGGCCTTTCACCTGTACACATCGGTGGCAGTGATGGCCTTGGACGTGCGTGAGTAGATGGGATCCACATAGCCCAGCGTCCCCATCACCCGAGTCATACCCACGATGGTGCCCTCGCCCACCCTCAACAGCCCAAAGTCACCGATCTTGGCCTGATGGATGGTGTAATAGTTGAAACAGGGGCAATCATGCTAGAGAATGAACAGGTCAATGCCTTGTATATCATATTGTGTTAAATCGACCTGTACGTTATGTCAGAATCCCAGCCACTAACCACTGGGATAAAAGGGCTTGTTTATATAGCGGGTGAGTGCGCCCATAACCCCCCAGGCCAACGGGCCTGTAACCCTTCCCTAGGATCATCGGGGATCTCCAGTGGACCTCTGACACCCCCCCGCACTGGGATGCCCGAAGTGCACACACCGGGAATCGAACCCGAGACCTTCGCTCTGATACCATGTCAGAATCCCAGCCACTAACCACTGGGATAAAAGGGCTTGTTTATATAGCGGGTGAGTGCGCCCATAACCCCCCAGGCCAACGGGCCTGTAACCCTTCCCTAGGATCATCGGGGATCTCCAGTGGACCTCTGACACGTTATGCTGAATTGTATGTATTGTTTGTAGTGAACTCAGTGATGACACTGTTCACTTCACGAGCTCGTAACAAGGTACAATGGAGTTGCTAGTATGATCAGCAAAGAAGGTGACCAGGCAGAGAGGCTTGAGAGATGTGTTTGTGGCGACTAAAACGAATCATGTTGTATTGACGAACACAAACATGCTCGCCCCACCATCTTCGTGTTGGGACGAACATGTAGGTGTTTGCCTGGTAGGTGCTGGAATGGCCAAACACCTCCTTTCCAGAAAGTGATCGAGCGAACACAAACATGCCTGGTTAGCCTAATATAAATGTTTGGCACATCATAACAGAACATGCTGTGTGTTCGCCATTTAAAGTCTTGAGTCGACTCAAAACACACTTGTCGACTCAAAGTGCTTCCTTGCCTGCATGCTTGCTCCAAGCATGATGTTCGCAGGCTTGATGTCGCGATGCACAAGGTCAAATCTGTGGAGGTACTTAAAGCCACGTGCCGCACCAATGAGGATGTCCAGCCGCTGCTGGAAGGTGAGAGTGAAGGACGCCTCTGCACACATGTACGGGACATAAGAGTGACGGACCATGGGTCATACAAAACCAGTGACAAATCATGGTGGGTGGCATAGTGAGCGACAAAAAAAAAAGGGTTCCAGAAGTATGTGGGCTACGCACCCTTCTTAACAAACTGGTCAAGGTCACCATTGGGAACAAACTTGTAGATCAGGATTTGCTCTGGCCGTGTCCTCATGTCTCCTCCAACAGCAAACCCAAGGAGCCGCACGATGTTGGGATGGTTCTTGTCGGCCATTTGTTGGACCTGCGGAGAAAATTGCAAGAACAGACAAGAACTCATCAATGCATGATGAATGAGATGAGGAACAAGTGTATTGAAATGGTTTTCACACAGCATAGCAGAATGCAAGAGGCATGCCATGGCGAAATGCATGGAGACCCAATGCGGAACAGTTCCTCAATAATTAGCTAGCAGTTTTGCAGCCAAAATGGAAAAGAAAAAGCCCATTCAAAAAACATCATTATTCCATCATAGCACGAACTTCTCTCTGCAAATCCACATCAAGTCACACCCACTTTTGAAATTTCTCAGATTTGACCAGAGATGAGTTTGTTAGTGTTAGCCCTCAATCTCACACTTTATATATCCTAGCGTAGTGTAGATTCCACTTTGTGTTTGGTTGGGTGTACACCTACATCCCAACCAAACCCAAATGTAATCTCCAAGCAATCTCCAACCCACCAATTGGAGATTGCCTTGGGATTACCCCCAATCCCTAGAGATTGCCCCCGATTCCCTTCCCCATCCACTGCTAGCACATCTTGGATGTACTTAAAGAGCTCCTAGCTCATAACTAATGCATCGGTTCTAAGCTTAAGCTGTGACAGAGTCGACCCACCTCTTTGTAAAATTCCACGTCAATCAGTTTGGCTCGCTTGACGGCCCACAGGGTGGTGCCGTCATGGGGACACACGCCCTTGTACACGTCACCAAAGGCACCCGAGCCAAGCTGGTTGTCAGAAGACCAGTTGTTGGTGGCTTTGAGGACTTCTTCTAGAAAGTACTCCGTGCATTGAGTGCCTGACATGCTACGGGCCCGGCCTGTAATAGTGTGTGGTGAAAAGAGGGGAGACGACGGGTGGCAGTGTGGGGTGAAAGAAGTGGGTGCAAGGGTTGATAGAGTGTGGTAAAAGTGAGTGTGTGGGGTGAAAAGTGAGTGTGAGGGGTGATAGTGCGGGTATCGGTGTAGAGAAGCAGAAGCCAGGTGTAAATACGACCATGCCAGCCGTTCCATTTTGCCATATTAGTACCCAATCGTTGTCAATACTCTAGCATCCGAGGAAAGGGTAGATAGAAGGAAGGGAAGATAAAAATGTGTCTCTAAATTTTGCCACGTTTGCCTCATGAATGCTGAAGAGGGGAAAAGTCAAAAGGGGGATAGGAGGATCAACGGATGGATGAAGGAGGACTTTTGAGACGCCTCGAAATTCAAGAGGCAGGACGGGGGAACACATCGGAGGCGCCTCAAGAAGAATCATTTTTTCTGGACTTCTGGGTCCCTCTGAATAAATCTGGGTTATTTTGGGTTTCAAGTCAAGGTTTTAAGATTCAAAATTTTCAAGGGAGTAAGGATGGACAGGGCACCATACTTGCTGCACGTGCTGCCCGTCTATTGTGACCTCTCCACCACCCCAGCAGCTCGCCGATGTTCAGCAGCATCACAGCAGCCACAACAATGCCAGCAATGGCTCCCACAGAGAGACTGCCTCCCGACTGGGAGGGAGGCGCTTCGGGTGAGATGGGGGGACTTGAAGAGGAGGAGGACGGGGTCAGTGTGGGGGGAGATGAAGTCAAGGAGGGGGCGGCTGGAGGGGGAGCGGGTGGGCCTGTAG